ACAATATCAAGCCCTGGTGCCTATAATTTTGCCACTCGAGAACAACTGGATCACAGACAGTGACTTCACTTTCATCTGGGTTCTGTTTGTAAAGTTATGTACCCCCATATGCTTTTATTCCTGGGATTAGCAAACCTTTTCCCCCAAACTTGTCAGAGATTGATTAATATAACCCAGAACTACTACTGTAGATAGTTTAAAGCCAACTAGAAAATTTGATTGATGGCAAAAATGTAATTTACTCTCATAAAAACATTAACACCCAAATCAGTTACATGAAAAATGTAGCAAGAGAAAGTTTATAAAATATCTTTTTTTTTGTGTTTTTGTGTGTGTGTGATGAAATTACCACCAGATGTTTAAGGGAGAAAAACTAGAACTGCCCTGGGATATTTCAGTAAAGGGCCGTTTTATCAATGTGCACCATTCATTTCAGCAGCTAACTTTAGAAATAGGTGTTCACATAAGCTGAAAATACTACTTCCAACTGTAGGATTACAAGAAAATTTGGACCTACCATACATGCATTATGGATAACACATAGGTTAATTCAATTGAAATAATTAGGAGAATGCCACCTTTTCAGGTTCTGTACAAATTAATATTATATGGTCATCGGTTTAATTGGTAATCAGTGTAGAGAACAGGGTCATGGAATGTGACACAATGTAGGTGGTTGTGGCAATCTGCTGGCAGTTCTTGTGTGGGAACTGCCCACTTACAAGCAAACATTACAGTGACAGCTCAAGTACCATTGCTTAGCAAAGGCGAGTAAACAGTCATTTCTGTGTAGGGTCTACAACAATATGTGACTATGGGAAGCACCCACAGTGGATCGAGTACTAGCCAGTCACAAGCTAGAAACCATTCACTGTCTAGCAGCAGTTCCCACACTTGTATTAGATGCCCTGAAATTATGCTTCAGTTGAACGAAGGTCATATAAATTATGTCAGCATCACAAAATTTACGGTTTGAAGAATATAACCGAATAAAATGCTCTGCTAACGAAAACGCAAATTCCAGTTAAAATGTTGGCCACACAGGCATAAAAGTTGTTACGCCTGATATTGGGACGTAGAGTATTAAAAATAATTCAAATTTATAAGTACTTAATTACTATCAAATTCTCAGTTAAAGACTTGCAATCATGTGCACAGTATTTGGTTTTATCACCGTTTTGTGATTATGGTATATTTACTTCATACTGTGACATCTGAATTTTAATTTTGTAAATGAGCCATTTGTGTCGAGCGTATCGATTTGTCGAACTGTGATAGTCTCACAGCGCCAATTGCGGAAGTGTGAATGTTCCTGAAAATGAATTGGACAAAGCCCGTGGACGGAGGTAGGATGGAACGGATGGAAAGTATAGTATACTACATAGAGTAAGCACCTACGTAGAATTTGTGCTGCGCTTTTCTAGCGGAGAGAGATTATGCCCTCCAGGTTGCCTAGCGCCGTATAACCAACATCACAATGACTATATGTCGATCACCACTTGACAAAAAGAAGTATTTAAACAAGCCATTATTTTATAATTGCATTACTATTTAAAAATATGTCATAATTGAAATACGTTACAAAAGTTATTAAATTAATTGAGCATTCATAAATCTTTGATACTTTATTCATATTGGCAGGCTTGTCGTCTGCTTGATTGGTACTACGCCGACGCAGAAGGAAAATTTCGCATCTGATGCCGCTTCCACAAGCGCTAGTTGGTCGCCATATGAGTGAAATTTCTATGTACTACGTTATTCATGTTGGAAGAATAGATTTGAGTGTAAAGACGCCATTAATTCATGCTGTGTTGTGCATAGGATTTAAATAAAGTCTTGACACATTCGAAAATGGAGAGTGTGTCGTAGAAGAATAGTCGTTATGATCTAATACAAAGGTGGGAGTAAAGGAGTGCCGATTAGACATTTCGTCAATGGCATTGTGATGGTCATTTCTGTATACCTGATTAGGGAGCGTGACAGATTGCACATTGATGTTGGGCAAGTATGAGTTACTTGCGTTGGTAACATTTTGAGTTCTGGACACGTGCTTAAGAACTGAGAAAGATGTCTACCCTCTCACCAGTGTTGGTTGACAGTCCAAGCGAGAGGTGATGTCATATGCGGTGGAAACTGTGTAGTGGATTTTTTATGGGGTTATGCTTTTCCTGCAGAAAGTCTAGACTGAACAGTGTAAAGTCTGAACATTTTTCTGCATCTGCAACACCACTCCATGTTTGTGTCGAGGAACAAAGAGAACCAGAACTGGGTTCGTCTTCTAAAGAAATTTGCCAGTACACAAGTTACATAAGGATGGCAAACACTATGTCAAACATGAAGATGACTAATCCAATTAAAGGTCTCGTCAGTAAGAGACGGAAAAGATACACTCAAGATGGATTTAATTTGGATCTTACCTGTATCCTTTGTTTATGCTCTCAAGTTATATTTGTAGCTGTTGTGTTTGGTTGTACACTTTTGGGTATAGTTCACTGCTCTCCTTTTTTGGGGACAAAATGTTCCTGTGGAATATATAAGCACCACTTTGGTAGAAAACAGTAGCTAATCGCCACACAGTCACTGAACACAGGAATAGGCAGTTGTCACTTGATCAGTTCTTGTTGGTGATTCCTACATTACATTGATGTTTCCTGCAGCAACATTTTATGTCCCTAAACATTACTTAAGGGAAGTTATTGTAAGTAATAATTAATTTTATGAGTTCTTTTGGGTGTAGATAGCTTATATAGATTTAGGTTGTGTTTAGAAATTGAAAGTGAAATCCAAATTCGTTGACACATGGTTTTGGGTACATTAGATTGGTGTCTTAAGTTTAAGTCTTGTGCTAAGAGAAGGATCATCTATGGTCCATCTAAAATAGGTGGTACTTAGAGGATTTGGTGCATATACTTCAAGTAAGGAAAATTCATACATATACCTGCTCACACTCCCCCAGCTTTTAACACAGAATTTTTTAAGATCACTGATATGTAATTGTTATTACACATGTAATTTATTAAAAAAGTCAGCATTATTTAATAAATAGCGGCTCTAAACATAGTGATTACATCATTAATTTCACTCTCTTATTTCCCATGATTGATCTGTTCTTGTTCATTTGAAATGTGTGTAATGTATTTTGTGTCCTTCTGGATATATTTGTATAGCATGTAAATGATAAATGATACAGATCCTTTGGATGTTCACTTTTTTCAGTTGGTATATCCTTGTGCATTGGTTTATTTCTGAGGAGCTTGAAGTTCATCACAGGGTTGTTAGGTACAGCTAAAATTGTATTTCGTACATATGAACACCAAGATCATTCTCTTTTGCAAAATTGCATGTCTCCATAGATATTTTTTAAAGTACAGCTGTGTCTGAGATTTGATAACCGCCTCTGTGGTCTAATGGTCAGAGTTTCTGGCTACAGATCCAGAGGTGCTACCAGATTTTTCCTGAGAGTAGTGGGCCTAGAATGGGTTCCACTCAGCCTCATGATGATAATTGAGGAGCTATTTCAAGGAAATAGCGGCTCCGGTCTAGAAACCCAAAATTAACGGCCGTGGGGATTTATTGTGTTGACCATGCAACACCCTCTATCTGCAAAAATTGGCACTAACTTTGCCGACAGGCAGTGGTCGCTTGGTTGGTATAATTTGCTTGCAGACTGAAATCATGGAGTCTGAAATTTGAGGTTCTTATGGCATTGTAAGCATAGAGATCTTCTGAGATGTGGTGCTATGCAATCTGGTAGATCATTACAAACATTTCAGAGGAGCCTACTTTCTCTGTCTTCAGGATAGTGTGCTCTGAAGATGAAAGCATATTCAAGTCAAATGTTAATATTGATCTTCCAGACTGCATGGCATCACATCCCAGAAGACTTTTTCAGCTCTGTGACTAACATTTAAGAGTGGTAGAAATAATTATTCCTTTCTGAGAAGAGCAGGATCCCATGGATGTTAACCTTTAAACGACTAAAGACCCCGTATGGGGTTGCACAAGTTTAGTCAGCGGTACGAATGTCCCCATATGGGGTCGCACAATCCGCGCGTGCGGACGTTATTTAAAATACATTTTTAAGGTAGAAAATAATGTCCTACTTATATAATTTTTGGCCACCATCTGCATGGAGTATCTGTCTTCCCACCTGCATCATCTGCCGGAATGTTGCCTTCGTGTGGAATTCTAAAAAAATCCGGAAATGCAGAGTCCGATTTCGCACTTCGCGAACATTGTGCGGACGGTCTTTCGTTTCCCACGCGAAAAGCACACACGACACCTCAATTGCGAAGTAGAGGAAGTCGGCCAGTGATGTGGTTTGGCCTTCTATAATCGAGATATCTCCGATAAAACGGCAGGGGTTCGACTCCTGGTCGCACAGTCCGCGCGTGCTATCTTTACCTGAAATAAAAGTTTAACGTAAAAAATAATTTTGTACTTACGTAATTTGTGGCCACCATCTGCATGAAGCGTCTGTCTTCCCACCTGCCTCATCTACCGGAATGTGGCCTTCGTGTGGTATTCTTGGAAACATCCGGAAATGCACAGTCCGATGTCGCACCTGACGCACTTTGTCCGGACGGTTCTTCGTATCCCACGCGAAGAACACTCACGACATCTCAACTTCGAAGTAGAGGAAGTCGGCCAATGTTGTATTGTGACCTCCCCTATTCGAGATGGCTCCGATCTAACAGCCGGGGGTCGACCCCTGGGCCGTTGAGGGCGAGGTGGACCCCTTCCAGCGAGCTCCAGCATGTTCCGCACAAGGGCGAGACGAAAATCTCTGTGTGACAATTTCGCGCCACAGGATGACAACAGGATATAACTGTTCAGAATCGTCAGATCCAGGAGATGGAAAAATAGTTTATTTGTCCATTTCCAGGTCCGACGACAGATGCCATAACTGTTTGCCATCCTGTCCGCCTTGTCCACATAACCCATGTGCTTGTTGTAGTCAGCAACAACAGCTGGTTTTGTGGCATTTCCATGCTCACCACAGAAATTGCCTTCTGCTGGAGGAGAGTGCATATTTGTCAGCATGTAAACGTCACGTTTGTCCTTCCAAACTAGAGCTGTCATGTTCTGTCTCACCCTAACACGAATGTCCCCTTTCCTAAGTCGAAACTGTCTTCGTCGAAAATCGTCAGGCAAGCCCTTCCGATTAGGTCTGACTGTCCCACAGCACGTTATCTTCTTTGTCATCAGTTCGTCAAACAAGTCGGGCGAAGAAAAGAAATTGTCCATGTACAGTTTGTGACCTACGCCCTCAATACGCCTGCACAGGTCCCTAACTGTAGCATGTGTCGCTGTCACGTCTCGGTCGGCACGTGTCCTGTCTTTTCCTAGGTAAACTTTCATGTCATACGTATACCCAGCGGCGTCACAAATTTTGAAAATTTTGATTCCGAAACGTTTGTGTTTCTTCGGAATGTACTGCTTAAAAATCACCCTTCCCTTGAATTTAACTATTATTTCGTCAACGGCCAAATGTTCGGAAGGGTTATAATATTTTTCAAATGCGTCATTGAGAGTGTCGAAGATGGTCCGAATTTTCCATAGTCGGTCATAACTGTCGTCATTCCTGTCAATTTCTGTCCTGTTGTCTGCAAAATGTAGAAAACGAAGAATGTGAAGAAATCGGTCGCGTTTCATTGTCTTAGAGTAGAAAGGCGTGGCAAATTGTTCGGCAGTCGACCAGTAGTCCGTCAGTCTGTCTCTAATGTCATGTCCCATCTGAATGATTATTCCTAGAAACAGAAACATCTCGGATTCGGTCACGTCAGGCCGCGGAGAAGGTCCGTCTTGACGTCTGTCTACGTGCTGGTGGTAGTATCTGTTCGTCTCTTCCACCAGCAGATGGATAATCTCTGCGAAATACAGCATGAAAACGCTGAAAGGGGTGGAATCCTTATTTACATGTGGAGCTTCATGGGTTTTTAACCCCACAGCTCCACCTGAATAAGTATTCACACTCCTCGTGCCACGCTGGTGTGGCGGTCCCCAGGTTGCCGACGAAGATGATTGGTCTTCATCGATATCACTTTCTGATTCGCTACCTTCAACGTCACTCTCAGAATTGTCAGTACAACAATCTGAATCGGTGTCATTGATCAGCTGAAATATGTCGGAATCTTCCAGATGAGATGAAGCCATGGTAAAATCACACTATCACGTAACTAGACAGAACGCTTCCAGTCACAAACTCAGGACTCAGTGTAATGAAACTGTATAAAGAAGTGTAATCTTAGTGTGCAACCCAGCTCGATAAAGCAGCACTGAGTTCATTTCATTCCCCCACTCTCCTCATTCCTATTGAACTACGTCATGTTACGATAAAACTTCAAAGTACTTCGAATGAACCCTTAGAATCACGGACCTATTCCGTTGATAGAATATTCCACACGACACTAGGCCATGTACAAACTTCGACTGCACAATTCCAGGAACTAAGCTCTATTATCGCTTTGTTGATACTACAAACGCAATTGCATAAACAATGTTAGCTTTGATCTATATAAGAACAGTAGGAACGTTATACTGTAGCTGAGAGCGAAGACACTGAGCTTATTTTCACTCGTCCACATCCACATTCCGAACAAGGTACGTCACTTATACTCCAATGTTGCCAAGTGTCTTCATCCACCAGATTGCATTCAGGGGTGTCCAAAACGTATGAATTCTCGCAGAGAAGGAAAAAAATTGGCAAATTTCTTTTTGGAGTCAGTGCAAAAATTTTAACATGTTTTATACAATCTGTAAATTACAATATCTGATTCTATATTCTTTCGAGAAAAAAAACAGCGTTTATTTCGTTCGTTTATCACAGAAATTGCAGAAATAGGAGCAAATTTAGTAAGTGACTACAGTTTTTACGGATTTCTAATAGCGGCCCTTTAAATAATTCCGTACGGCTGCCACAACCGGAATTTAAATGCCCGTAGGATAAAGGTTAATAGTACAACCAAGTAGGCTTAATATATTTATGTGTTTAATGACTTTTATCTGTTCTGTTTTCTTATTAGGGTACAGCTGTTGTGATTTCCTTGACTGTACATACAGATATTAGAGCAAACTTAATTGCCATGGGTTTTCCTGCTGAGAAATTGGAAGGAGTGTATAGAAATCACATCGATGATGTTGTCAAACTTTTGGAAGCCAAACATAAAGATCATTACAAAATTTATAATTTGTGAGTTTTTTTTAACTTTCTTTCTTATTGGTTGTGTTTCAAATCAGTGCATTGGTAGAGATAATATAATGTGTTGCATGCCAGTCTGCATAAGTAGCTACCAGCCAGTGGGCAGCAAGTGCGTGCCCCTGACGTGTTTTGTAGAGCGTGCATACATCTTTTTTAATATTGTACATGATAAATAGTTATTGCCTAAATTAAATATTTAATTTAAGTCAATAAATAAAAAATAAAAATATCAAAGACAGTGTTGAGTAACATGTGAATCTGAGTGGTATAGATAATAAGTTAGTAAAAAAAGGGTCATGTAATCCCTTGTACTTAATCATGTAATTAAGCACTATGCTATAAAGATGTGTGTGGGAGTGGAGGTATAGCTCCACCATTCTTAACCTGGGAACTAGGAAGAGATGAGTGATAAGCTTGCTCTTAGTGTAAACTATGCTCATTGCTATAACTGTTGTGGAGCAGGTGTTCAGAGCGTTCATATGACGTTACAAAGTTCCAACAGCGGGTTGCCATTTATCCATTTGATGATCACAACCCTCCAAAGATGGAACTTATTGGACCATTTTGCACTGATGTGCACAATTGGCTGTCAGAGGACCACAGGAATGTTGCAGCTGTTCACTGTAAAGCAGGAAAGGTAGAGTATTTTCATTTGATTTATAAGTAAGAAGTCGTTGTAAACTGGAAATTTATGAACTGGAAATATGCTAAAAGGATCCAGTAGGTGTAAATCACATGGGAAAATATTGGGACCAATTTATTTTAACATTTGTAGTTTTCATGTCTTCAGCAAAGCTGTCATAAGCAGATTTCATTGTATTAATTTTGAAATCAGAGACTTAAGAGGGATCAGTGTCTGATGGATCTCTTTACGTTGCTGTATTTCCTTTGCTTGTTTGATATGTTACTCATATATTTCTGAGTATATATAATTTTCATATTCTCAGGGCCGTACCGGTGTAATGGTGTGTTGCTACATGCTACACAGTAGACAGTTTCCAACAGCCAATGAGGCACTGAATTTCTATGGTCAGGCAAGGACCCATGATAGAAAGGTAAGGATTGACTGAATTCTGAGTGTACAAATGTCAGAATTGATGTTAAATGTATGATACTGACTGTTCTTTGTAATTAGGTAAAGATAAAGTTGTCCCTGTGCTAATTAATTAGGCACCACACCATAAGGATGTGTATGAGGGTGGAGGTATAGCTCCAGCATTCTTGACTTCAGCAGTAGATGGAGGTGAAGGATCGACTTGTCTGCCTTACCCCTAGGGATCGAATCCCTGGCACCCATTGGGTATGAGGCTGGGTGGGCCCCAGAGGCAGTCTACATGCCATGGTATAGAGAAAAATCTTTTGCCCCTGCAATATCCTAATAGTAAAGAAGTTTTATTACATGTAGTAACATTAATTTTGTGTGAAGAATTTGTTAACCTCTTTGGGATGAGGTTTTCAGTGACGGTGATTATGAACTGTCGTCTGGGATGTGGTGCGATATACCGTATTTACACATGTATAGGCCGCACATTTTTTGCCAAAAATTCAAGAGGAAAACTGGGGTGCGGCTTATATTCGAAATCACACTTCATTTAAAAAAAAATATATTCATAATTAGTAATACAGGGTGTTCTACTCCTGAAATAATATTCCAAGAAAATTATTTTTTCTGTAATTTCTGTCTGAAAATTGTGCTGCGGCCTGTACACACACGCGGCCTATACATGCGTAAATACGGTAGTTTCAGAAGGACCTGCTGCCTACAGCTTCAGGGTAGAACATAGTATCACTTCCCAGAAAAGAATCTTCATTTTAACACATTCATTGCAATTGCTGGTCACATTTCTGTTAATTGTGTGGTTTTTCATTTAGGGTGTGACCATTCCTAGCCAGCGACGTTACGTTGGTTATTATGCATCTTTAGTACAAGAACAGTTGAACTATCATCCAGTGACACTTCTCATCAAAGAAATTCACTTGGAACCCATGCCAACGCTTAATGGAGGACAGGCCTGTATGTTTAATGAAGTTATTTTTCATAATTGTATATTAACAATTGGCGTAAATTTTGAACTGTATATTTTCAGTTGGTATCTGTCCCTAGGATGTATGGGGGCTTAGACCGAAATGAATCATAGTATGTTTCTTCAGCGTAAGGGGTCAGGGAAATGTGACTTATGAGATTTGTCAATGTAAGAAAGATTCATGGAAACTTTAACAATGATTGTATTGAAATGGAAATTTTGGGTTGTGTACATAGAAAGTTCTTTTATACAAAAATGAATTCATTGTATGAGGTTACTTCTTCACGGACAGAAAAGCTGTTAATCATTCTAGTTATTACGTTATATTTTTAAAAATACATTATTCTGACAAGGCACCAAAATTATAGTCAGAATCGAAAAAACAGTACTTCCTACATCTTTAATTCACATTGTTGACGTCATTGTTGGATTCTTCTTAACCAATTTTACAGAGCCAAGCCCTTCTTGAGAAGCCAGCAGTTATGCACCTCCTCTAGAACTTACCAGCATTTTATGGAACATGAAGATTCATTACCATGTTCACAAGAGCCCTCCACTGGTCCCTATCCTGAGCCAGCTTAAAGCAGTCCATACCACCCCACCCCATCTCTCTCAGATCCATTTTACTATTATCCACCCACCTACAACTTGGTCTTCCTAGTGGTCTCTTTCCTTCTAGCTCTCCCACTGATATCGTATATGCATGTTTTCACTCCAATTCGTGCTACATGCCCTGCCCATCTCATCCTTCTTGACTTGCTCATTCTAATTATACTTGGCAAAGAGTACAAGGTATGAGGCTTTTCATCATGCAGGTTTCTCTAACCATCTGTCAGTTCATCTCTCTTAGGTCCAAATATTCTCAACACCCTGTTCTCAAACACCTTCAGTTTCTGTTCCTCCCTTAATGTCAAGGACCAAGTTCCACACCCATACAGACCCACGGGCAAAATTGTAGTTTTGTATATTCTGGTTCTTGTCTTTTTAGACAGCAGACGAGAAGACTAAAGGTTCTGAAATGAATGGTAGCAAACATTACCTGAATTCAGGGTCCTTTTAATTTCTCCCAAATCAGAATTTGTTTTGTTACTGTTATTCCCAACTGTTTGAACTGTGCCACATTTTCAAAGGAGTTAAATTCTTATTATATAAATTAACGTCATAACATTGACAGTAATAATTGAGATGTTTTGTGTGAAATAATCATTTCTTTGTAATTGTACTATCCTACATTAATTAGAACACATAGAGAGATTTCTTTGGGTGCCTAAGCAGATTGTAGAATGGTTTCTGTGAACTTATATGCTATGTGCCAGCTGACTTGTATATCCTAAGCCCCACATTTCTTGGCTAATGCTAGTGTACAATATTATACTGTATCGTATTTCAACAATGCAATAATTACAGTCTCTCTCTTGTTATCTCCTATGTCAAAAACAGATTGAAACAATTTGCCCTCATGTACAAAACCTGCTTGGAGAGTGATTTTGCAAGAAAAATGAGGGTAATGTTCTGACATAAATTTCAGGATGTTACAATTCCACATAGAAGAAATATTCATAGAAATGTGATTAAAGGCCAGTAGTGTCATAATAACTAGGGAAGAAATGCAATTGAAACTCTTGAGTACTTACTGAAGAGAAATTGGATGACATTTGTGCTAGGATTGAACATTTTTCTTGGATATCCCTCAGACATGTTGCACAGGAGACCAGGGTTTTAAAAGCATCAGTACGGAGTGCCTTGAAACTCAATAGTTCATGTATTGCATGGACTGGGTTTGTTTGAGAATGGGTTCTGAGAAAAATATTTGAACCTAATAAGGATAGTGACAGAAAGCTGGATAAAATTGCATTATGAGGAACTTCATAATTTGTGCTCCTTGGCAAGTCCTGTTGAAATTCTGAAATCAGGGAGGATTAGATGAGCGGGGCAGATTTGCTTAGTTTCCTGAAAACAGCCTGCAGACAGTGGATGTAAACCTTTCATGGAGGTGCCAAAAATGTGTACAGAATAGTAGGGAATGTATTCAGAATCTGCTGTAATCTGCATGTTTTATTTGTGATATGTTGAGGCTGTAGATTTGTCTTTTCCGTTAACAGGCTGAATTTCCATTGTCCCAGCTAATGGGAGGAGTATTCATCTGTTCCTCCCAAAGAGGTTCACTGGTTTGTGGGGTGCCCAAAAACCTATCTGTATATTGAGTGCAACATTTTTGTGTTTTTGCAAGAAATTCTGTTGATATTTCAGGTCTTCAGTTAGTGATCTCCGAATCGAGTAAAAAAGTGTTCTCATCGCCAGTATATGAAGTGAAGAAAGGTTCTCCCTCTTTCCACATCTCCTTGGATCAGTGTATACCTTTGCAAGGTGATATCAAGGTTGAGTTCTTCAACAAACCCAAGATGAAACGGAAAGTAAGTGACCCGTGCCTGTTGCTTCTTTTATGTACTGAATTGGATTTGAAATTTTGATGGGGTGACTGTTTTCTGTAATGTGACAGCATGTAATTTGGTATATAGGTCATTCTTTAAAGGGATGTATTTTTACTATCTTCAGGGTAGTTGTCTTACCCTGAAGATGGTTTCAGTATGTTCATCCAAAATTTTGGTATCGGTTAACCAACTATAGAGCCTTACATTTCAGAAGACAGCAAACTTGAGATAAGGTAAAGGTAAAGCTAACCATCTAACAGGCGGTGGAGGCCCATAGGGTTGTGAAACATTGAGGTTCCCACATTTTCTAGACAGTCGGCTAAAAGATGGTGGTGAGGTTTCATCCTTATGTTCTGGCCATCCTTTACTTCCAGGGAAATTCCTGGTTCTCATTTCTGTTAGAGGCTGCATCAACCACAGGGCCATAGTGCGTTGGAAGGATTAGGTCAATTAAAAAATTCAGTAACCTCATTGGGAATCAAATCTGCAACCTTCTGGCTTGTAGCATAGTGCTCCGACCAACTATCCTACCGCATGCCCCACTTGAGATAAGGCTGTTTGTTAATAATGCTTTGTAACTTAAATATACAGTGCTACAGGTGGCTTATGGTGAAGTGATTGAATCTGTGAAGAAAGCAGAAGTTGTGTTACATATTGAGTAATGTAGATGAAAATGGTTTTCTGGAGTTCTGAATAACTGTAGTATTACAGGAAGCAGAAATTGAAAGTTACAGATTCTTTAACATTTCTTTACTGTTAACCAAAGCGTAATTTATAATTAGTTCTTACCCCAGCACTGCATTTTTTTATTTCTGATTCTGAGTTCAACTTCTCTGTGAGACATAGTGTTTTGTGGATATTTTTTTAAGAATGTTGCCAGCTCTCAAACCTGGCATCAGGGGTGATTATTTAATAAGTTTTATGATTAAATGGGCTGTTACTCTATCCAGAATTAGCCATGTGAGGATATTAAGTGGAAGCAAAGATTTGACGTTGCTTGCATCTCTGTTAGGGGGCATGCGGTAGCGTAGTTGGTTGAGGGGCTGTGCTACAAGCCGGCAGGTCGTGGGTTCAAGTCCCGATGAGGTCATTGGATTTTTTTCAATTGATCTAATCCCTCCAGCCGCACTATGGCCATGGGGTTCACTCAGCCTCTGACAGAAATGAGTACCAGGAATTAATGAAATAATTTTCCTGGGTAGTAAAGTGCGGCCGGTGTGTAATGCTGACAACCTTACCGCCATCTTTGAGCCAGTTATCTAGATAATGTGGGACTGTAACGTCTCACAACCCAATGGGCCTTCATGGCCTGGTACAAGGATAGCTTTACTTTTTTTACCTGAATCTCTGTTAATCCACAATTTTTTCAATATAATTATGTGTCTTTCTTGGTTTATATTAAGTCATTACTTCATTAGAGTCAGTGAAAGGTAGTAAGAGTTGTAGTTGGCTGCCTGCTTCTGCACTCTGCCTACTCTCCATGGCCTTCAAATGATCTGGTGGGAGAGGAGGTAGCTGCTTGGCAGATGGGTGGGGAGAAATTGTGTCCATTCTTTCATTGACTTATCTATAATATGATATATGTTAACTATTGTTTCAGATCACATCTAAGGTTTTCACAGTAGTCCATTTGATGATTGTCTTTTGGGATGTGATGTCACATAATCTGATAGTTAGGTACAAATGTTTCAGAAGAAAGTGCTGTCTGCTTCTTCAGTGTAGAAGAGCCTCTTCTTCCCTGAAGATGGAGGCAGCACGTTCCTATGAAATGATTGTAACTATCTATTAGACTGTGTCATCACATCCCACAAGAAAATTACATTCATCCTTTTAGATGGTAAAATAAATCATAAAAATCTTAACACATCGTGGACCGGTGATTTAAATATTTAAATCACCCTGGGGACCGGCATTAATAAACCTACTGTCCTAACTTGTGCACTGTTCACTTTAAAAAATAATATAAAATCTCCTAAATAATTTTATGAACTAAAATTTTTGGAGAACACTTACCAGTGCTCCTAGAGGTGATTGAGAGTGTGATATTTCTGGAAAGATTCCCATTTGTGAAGTGGCATTACACAGAACTTGCAATGTAGACATATTCCTTTTTTTGTGAACTGTGCAAACACGGCATTGCCTAGAAGGATGCTTCCCCTTGGAATGTTCACTCTTCACATTTTTCAGGCGGGTATGTTTCCACATATCACCCGAGAGTCGCCCTGGGGAGTCCACATGAGACCTGCATTGGGTGGGAGTTGATGGGCCGGATGCACTAAGTCTGTGTCTGACTCTGGTTTTGCCACCACCATCTGGTCTGTAGCCCAGGCCTTTGCCACATTCATCAGAAATGCTTTGTATTTCAATTTCAAATCAGGGTTTAGATTTTTGTGATTTTTTTTTTAGATTTTTTGCTGTCCCCGCAATGGTCCTACCCGCATTTTCGTCAGAGCTACTGTCACTTTTACTGTCTGTGGCCACAATTCTTTGTTGTCCCCTGTCACTGCCACTGTCTGAGTCACCATCACTACGCGTCTCACAAGGCACGTAAGCTAGCTCATCAGAGAAGAATTTGTCCTTGATCCATACCCCAACACTTACTACTGGCTGATACATACAACTTGAAGACCGGCAAAGCATTTTCATTTAGAGTGGGTTAAGAAAACAGAGAGGTCATGTTACTGAATACTAAGCAAACATTCCGGAGTTTTATTGCTCACTAGCCATGCACCTGTGCGGCAAAAGAGCAAGGTATAGTGTGTTGCAACCTAACATGTCCTAAAATCATGATATCGTGTGACCGGTCCGCCATGTTTAAAAGCGAAAAGCATGATATCATGCGACTGGTCCTCAATGTGTTAATATAGACTGAGTTGCAGCATGATCTGTACTGGTTATCTAGGAATGTGAAATGAAATAAACAGCTAAACACTGTGGATTTAAATGTCTTAAAACAGTATATATTAATTTCATTACACATGTAAAATGTAATTGGTTAATAACTTTATCTTTTTTCCTCTTTGTAGGAGAAACTGTTTCATTTTTGGTTCAACACATTCTTTGTTCGTGAAGAAGTACAAGTACCTGAGGCGCCAGTGAATGGAAATGAGGATATGGGTATGGTCCCTCCTCCTGAACGTTCTAGCCGAGCCATGAGCTGTGATGAGCAATCCCATGTGCCACCTCTGAACATCCGGCAACCCAGGTATTCAATGTTTTCTTTATAAGTACAAGGGCTCAAATTGTGCAGTCATTTTAAGCCTGAGAACCAGGCAGTAATGCTTAGACAAATATCAGCGTTTGCATTTGGAAAACCAATGTTTCTATTAAATGCATAATAGAGAGATAGAGAGCCTTCTAAGCTTGTGTAGTGAAATGTTAGTAAACAAATGCCTGGGGTGTGACAGATTATATTCGTTTTGATTGTGTTAATCACAACATTTTGTTAACAAAATTAGAGTTTTATGGAATAACAGGAACATCTCTTGAAAGTAATGAAATCTTACCTAGAGGGCGGATACCAAATGGTCTTAAACAGTAATTCTTCCGGACTCCAGTTCCAATTGCGAAGAGATAAAGCATGGCGTCCCACATGCATCAATACTTGGTCCATTGCTTTTTTTACTTTACATTAATTACTTACTAAAACAATGAACAATGATGCTGAAATCGTTCTATTTGTGGATGACACTAGTATAATCATAATTAGGGTTAACTCTATAAATTTTAAAAGTAATGTTAATGAAGTTTTACAAGATATAAATAGGTGGTTCATTACTAATTTATTGCCACTAAATGTCAATAGGACACAATTTATCCAGTTTATAACTAAGACTAGTTCTTTAATCAATTTAAGTATAATGCATGGGGACAATGGAATAGTTAATATTTGTAATACAAAGTTCCTTGGACTAACAGTGGACAACACATTTTCTTGGAAGACTCATATAGAGCCATTTGTACTCAAACTAAGTTCACCTTTTGATTTATTTCATTCTGGTCCGTCACACTTACAAATTACAAAGACAAAACAACTCCATCCAGTGTGACTATTGAAGTTTTTACTGCTTGAAAACTTAACACCCTTGCATGTTTATGTCCCTATAGACCATCATCAGAGGGATATCGATACTTTTTGGAAACTGCTATCACAATGGGTGTTTTGAGTGTTAAAATATGTGGTGCAATCCAAAAGTTCCCGAAATATATTAATAAAAACTATTACATCTTACCTAGATCTTATTCTGCACCATCACCTTCAAAGTAGTCCCCTTGGGAGCACATACACCGATCCCAGCGTTTCTGCCACTTTTGAAATGCATCCTGGAAGTCTTTCTTTGTTAGG